ATTTTTAGAATATTTTTAGAATAAAATTGTACAAAACAAAGCTTTTCATGTGTCTCATCCCCAGCCCCTCCATGTGTCTAGTTTTTCCCACAGTCCCTCCATTTGTCTCCCCCATTTCCCTGCTGTACCTCTATGTAGCTCGGCCATGCTACATGCAGTGACTGGCAGGAGGGCAGCGATGTGCTGTGTGCTCCCTTCCTGCCGTTCACATAGCGATTGTGCCCCCGGGCCGATGCGTCAGTGCATTGGCCCTGAAGTTAGGCAGGTATGTAGATCACTGGGGGTTGACAGGGCAGCCTGAACCCCCTGGAGTGACGACCACTGCGACTTGCTATAGTGACACCACTGCTTGGAAACATATAGAAAAAGTCAGTTTTATCTATAAATAACAAATGTATTCTTTACAGTGAGAGCTGTGAAATGTGTATTGAAAGAATATTTTTATAAATGAGGCATTAGTATCTATCAATTTTAATTATAAAACCAGCAGGGGCCTCATTTCTTATTAGGCTCTGGATTTTATTACAAATTAAATGTAGCTAAAATTGAACTCTGACAGCTCACATTTCAGATTCGTCATGTCATACGATTTTATCGTGTGGCACATGATTTGCAAACATTCCTCCTGATCTCCCAACAAAGCAACTTTGTAACAGCGTGCCAGGAGTATTGGGGCAAAGTGCAGCATGAACATATGTTTAAGCGTGCTTGCGCAGCACTTGGCCCAACATACAGTGTGTTTCAGCCAATAAGCGTTTCAGCAGTCTTCACCCATGATTGGCTGACAGGGCATCTTGTCATTTTGGTGTGCATCTCCATAGGAATGACAAGCCCCCTTTAAAGGAACACTCCAAGCAGCCCAACTACTTTATCTTGTTGCAGTCTTTATGTGTGAAGAGTGTGTCCTCTTTTTTCCTTTTAAAAAAAGTGCAGATTTCAATACTAATTAGCACTTTTATAAATTAACACTGTTACACCCCCTGGCTGTAAATCAGACAACAGGTCCTGTTACTTTCTGCTTTGGTTAGCTCAGTGGAACTAAACTCATTAGGCAGCAATTGCCCAGAGCAGCTGCCTTGCAAAGACTTCCTATTGAGCTGCACTGGGAGGTCTGTGATTGGTCTGTCACAGAAAGTCTGGGCGGGGTTAGAAGGGGAGGGGTTGCAAAGGCAGCAGACAATAGATCTCTGGCATTTGTAAGCTGTCTTTAGATATAACCCCGATGAAAAAAATGCATAATTATATGGATGCATGTTTTCAATTGGGGTATATCTAAAAAACATTGTAGGGCTGGCAGTCTACCACGGACACTATTCACACCAGAGATGTAGACACGTGGTTGCCCCACACCCCATTCCCTTCCCAGTTGGAGACTTTCAATTGCGATTTGGGAATCATTGCTGGTCATACTTCAGAGATGTACTTACTTCTCATGTAATCCAGCTTTAAACAGAAAACTGAAATATATTTTAATGAGTGTTTTGAATGTAATGTGACAACTTTACAGCAAAAGCTGGCTTACTCCCATTGATAGATATTTTAATTCTACACTTTGCAAAACATTCCCAGATGTATTCAGTAAAGTGTGAATTGTTGATGATTCCTAGGGATTTTCACAAAGTCAAACTGAACAACTTATTTGACCTGAAAAGTTCTTCCAAATTGACTATTGTGATCTATCAGTTGAAAATTCTATTTGAATTCCTGACAACTCACACTTTAGTGAATAATCCTACCTGTGACTTTGTTTGTAAACTTTTTCATTATTTTCTCCTTAATGGGGTGCTTTCAAATGTCCGCAGGGATTTGATAGTTGTAACAGAAATTGATGTAGAAAGACTTTGTCTCTATATGTATCCAACCTTTAATAAAAAAGATACTGACATAGCGTGATACAGTTACAACATTTTATTTCCCATACGGTAATCCCCCCATAAGAAGAACTCTTACAATAAAAAGTGGTGAAACTTATTTCTAAGGTTCACAATAAAAGCGTAGAAATGCAGAATGTTGGTTGGTAAATATAAAGTTACCGCTCCGTGGATGTTAATCCCAGACCGGTCCTGTGCACTCGGATCGATCCTCACTGAGACGCCAACTAACCAGTATTACTGCAGTCTCTCCAAATTCCAAAATCCCGCCAGAAACACGATCTACGCGTTTCGCTCATTCAAACGAGCTTTCTCAAGATACCTATAGATAGATACATCTACATCAATTTCTGTTACAACTATCAAATCCCTGCAGACATTTGAAAGCACCCCATTAAGATTACAACCGGGACTCTTTATTTAATATATTTTCGTGGTTGACCCCTATACAAAAAATAGGGGTATATTATCTAAGTGCTGATACTGTTTTTATTTCATTTTATGTCGTGTATGATGTTTTAAAACTTGGGAAGGTTTTTAGTGTATCGGGCAGCTTTGTACATCAACTTTTTCTTGTGGATAATTGTAATTTGAAGCACTTGCTTAGAAAATCCACTATATTATTGATTTTCTTTTGCGCTCTCTATAAACCTGTTTTTTTCACTTACAAAGACGTCTCATTGAGCTGCACAGGGAAGTCTTTGATTGGACAGCCACAGAAAGTCTGGGCGGGGCTAGAAGGGGAGGGCTTGCAAAGGCAGCAGACAAGAGATTTGCAGGTTTTGGAAGCTGATTTTAGGTATATCCTCAATGAAAAAATACATAATTAAATGCATGCATGTTTTCATTTAGGATCTATCTGCTAAACAGTGATTTTTATGTATTTTGTATTTGGGCAGTGGAATGTCCTTTTAAACCACCTGCAACAAAACTAAACATCTCTGTATATGCAGCGTTTCTTACTTAAACTGAAAATATAGAACAAAGCACTACGGTAGTGATGGTACCTAGAGTCACCTATTCAACAAGGTGCAGTTTAATTCGCTTGTAAATAGTTTCATTTACCTCTTCTCGTGAATAAAACAACTGGTAAGTTTAGAAGTACATACCCCATAACCTGATACCGAGCACATTCACATAGTCCAATTTGGTAATACTAATAGGAACAGGATTGCCTGAGAAATCTCAGTCCCCTGAAATTTTGAGAAATTTAAAGACATTTTGAGAAGCATAATGCTGTATATTTATTTTTATATAATGTGTACTAATTTGCTAGTTCAATTTGCATAATTTCGTTATCTACATGGTCTGGATTATCCCTTTAATTCCATAATTAATTTTTTTTTTTTTTAAGTGCTTTTTTGTCCCGAGGGAAGAGACACAGAAAGCCAGGGAGGGACAAAGATAAAGAATGCGAGATACAAGTTACGACATTGAGAGAGACACAGACACACACAAACAGTCACACACACACACAGTGGTTAATTAAAAAAATATATTTAAATCAGCACTTTTACTCTCCAAATCTTTATTTTTAAATAAATACAATTTTGAAAAAAATCATTGCTTAACCACCTCAAAAATACTATGATTTCAAATGCCAAAATAACACCCATGGGTTATTCTTTAATTTACTAAACGGTGAACTGAAAATGGAGATGAAGTATTAAGCCCTGAAGTGTTGATTTGGAAAAAATCTACAAATCTGGTTTAGTCACAGCTTGTTTATATTTTTTAATTCAGGCTTTAAAGGACCACTATAGTCGTTTTCCTGGCACTATAGTGCCCTGAGGGTGCCCCCACCCTCAGGGTCCCCCTCCCGCCCAGCTCTGGAAGGGGGAAAGGGGTTAAAACTCACCTTTTTCCAGCGCTGGGCGGGGAGCTCTCCTCCTCCGATCCTCCTCTTCTCCTCCCATGCGGCTGAATGCGCACGCGCGGCAAGAGCTGCGCGCGAATTCAGCCGGTCACATAGGAAAGCATTCATAATGCTTTCCTATGGACGCTGGCGTGCTCTCACTGTGAAAATCACAGTGAGAAGCACGCAAGTGCCTCTAGTGGCTGTCAATGAGACAGCCACTAGAGGAAATAGGGGAAGGCTTAACCCATTCATAAACATAGCAGTTTCTCTGAAACTGCTATGTTTATGAATAAATGGGTTAACCCTAGAAGGACCAGGCACCCAGACCACTTCATTAAGCTGAAGTGGTCTGGGTGCCTAGAGTGGTCCTTTAATTCACGGCATAAAGAATAAACCTTTCTTTGTGTTTAAAGTATATGGGCTTATTTAGATTTTTATTACTTTTTTAGCTTAAACTTCTCTCTAAAAAACAATTAAAATCTCACAGTTTTTCACAGCCTTATATAATCTCACTATAACCAATACTCACTATAATCAATAGAAGAAAAAAAAAACAGTACAGTAGATAATGAGATCAATTACAAATATAAAAAAATGGGAGGTTGTGATATACATTCCCCCCACTGAGCTAAACTCAAGAGGCTATGGGCAGTGGAATGCCCCTTTGAAGACACAATAATTTATACTTTAGAATAAAACAATAGAAATCCCCTATAACTTGTATTTACTGTTTTCATAAAATGCACATTAAAAAAAAAAAAATCACATTATATATTTAGCAAATTGCATCACAATCTAGTTCAGAAGACACAACCAGATCACATGTGGCAAATACTGCAGGGTATGTGGTCTTTATTTTTTTCTTGCTTTCTTGCATTCTCTCTGTATTGCAGCAATACAATGAAATGTTAATTCTCTCTATATCCCTCTGTTTTAACCAGTGTTGCAAAAGAACCGAAAAAGCCCCATTGTCATTAACTGAATGACAATCATATGTAAAGACTGTACCTTTGTTCAATGAAAGGTTAATTTGCTTTGTCTCATTTTTAATTGCATCTGCTAAAAAAAAAAATTCCTTTTAAAAATTGTTCCGCCTACTTTTGGCATGTAATGCTATCCAGCCTATAAAATTTGACATGTGACCAACCTAGCAAATTATCTGTAAGCCAAGTGACTTAGTAAATATTTGCTGGATCTGGGAGGAAAATGTTTAAAGCTTTAATTGACGCAATGCCGTTGAAGCTTTTAAGACTTTCATTTTAAACAGGCAGATGCACATAATATTTCTTTTGTCCTTCTGTGGCAGATGTCCCTGGGATGTTCATGGGAAAATGAAGGACAGGCTTGAAGAGTTAAAATACAGAGTTCGAGAAGATGAATCCTTGGGATTTGATGAGAATTTGGCCTTTGATAACCCTGTCTACCATGAATCAGAAAGCAATGACATGGACTTGTTTTTCAAGGAAATCTCTGGTCTGTCCTTCTCTCTCAAGAAGCTAAAAGAAGTGTCTGATCGAATTGAAGGCCAGCAAGAAGAGGTCTTATGCAGCACAACCGAGGTGTCCATCTGTGAAGGAAAGAAGGAGCTAAGTAAAATAAAAAATATCTTTACTTCTGATGCTAAGATCATCCAGTTTCAGCTCGGCAAAATGAAAGGAGGGTTGACTCAAGATGAGAAAAACTGGAAGGCAGAACATCGGATTCGGCAAAGCCAGTTCACCGTTTTAACAAATCGATACAAAGAGATCATAACTCAACATTATATCAATGAGACAAAGTATATGGAGAGGTTAAAGGAACAGATCATGAGGCAAGCCGAACTAGCCGGCTTGAACCTTCCTGAAGAGGAGGTCAATCAGTTGATAGGGAGTCCGATGGCTCCGCAGATTGTCGGACAAGATTTGGAAATCCTCAAAGCTAAACATCATTTAGCTATGGCCCATGAGAGACATAAACAACTTCTAGATTTGGAGGCTCAGATTACAGAACTTCACTCGCTTTTTATCCAGATGGACCTGTTAGTTTGTGAGCAGCAGGAAATTATTAATAACATTGAGTACCATGTGCTCAACACGACGGACTACATATCGCAATCTAGCGCGCAAGTAAAGAAAGCTTTAAAATACCAGAAACAGTCTCGCATAGCTGCTGTTATTTCTGCACTCTTGGGTCTCTGCGCCTGCTGTACTTGTCTATCTTGTGCTTCCAAAATTGTTCGATAACATATTTCTGAAGGACGTAATGCTTATGGTTGGTTTTTCATGCAATTGCCAACATAAGTTGGGACTTTCAAATAAATATTGTAGGTGATTTTCATTGTGTAGCAAAAGCTTATATCATCTGGTATACACGTAAGCAATATATATATTGGTCTTCAGACATTCTTCTTGCTGAGTGGGATTCTTTACTGAGTCTGTATTAAATTGCATTTCAAAGCAATTCCGAACCCATCAAGATATGGCCATTTTTTGCTTTCTTGGCCAATCTACAGGTCAATATCTCATGAATTTTCGCTGAAAATGAATTTAATTTATATTATAATCCAAAAACAGCAGACTCTCATTGCAATTTATCCACTGGATTGTCTAGTGAAAATAGCCAAGCTGTGGCTATACCAGAATTGAAGAACCACATGAATTTTGCAATTTTTTTTTTTATTCACAGCAGTTCCCTATAAATCAAAAAGTGTGTTTTTTGTTTTGTTTTATTTTTGACGCATGTTTTACAATGTTATTTTAGAAATTCGATGTACCCCAGGTAGGAAACAAGTGTTGCAAATGTAAGTTATGTATAAAAATACCATTTCTTTTTTTTTTTCAATCAGTTTTTTTATTGAGGTAAATTGCACAAGACAGAGTAAGGCATGTAAAAAGCGTATGCATAGTAAAGCGGTTCAGGATATTGCAGTACATCGAGTAATAGTCACCTCATTTTTATATATAGGAATAACAGATCAGCACTTGCTCAGGTAGGCAGAGTTAGGTCAGGCGGTATAGTACGTGCTAGTTCTGGTAATTGGCTTGAATTGACACCGGTAAGTGTTAAAAATGCCATTTTAAAAAGAAAAATTGTAGCTTTCATATAGAGAGATAGAATGGAGACATTAGACACTGTCTAATATAGACACTGAAGTACACAAAGAAAAGTTCTTTTGACATGCAAGTGAGCAGGGAAGGCAGCAGCATTTGCAAAGTAGGAGAGACTTTTACCCACAGAGCTGGTGCAGACTCCTGTGATCTTTGTGCAGGTTACTACACCAGACCTCCAAATAAGGACACAGAGGTAACACATTACAGAGACCTCAGGTCTGTGTTATCTTGGTCACAGGGGTGCGGGCATGCAGGGGATGGGGACAGCCTTGCCAAATCTCATTTCCTCAGAGAGAGTTCTGTGAATTCCCATGAATAATTACAGATACATTTTGTAAAAACCCCGGTAAACTGTATACATGGTGAAATTTTCTGCATCAATCCTGGTCTTTTGATCACCCTGACCTTTATCGAGCCATTAAAGTGACACATGATGCAAAAACTGATGTAGAAAGTCATTATTTCATTGAGTACTGTATTTTATATCTCTGTAGATATAAAAGGCAGACAAATAGACAGACAGATTTAGAGTATGTTACATTGACATGGCTTGGGAAATGTCCAGGTAACTGGAATGCTCTGTATTATGTGCAATAAGTAACCCCTTTATACAGTTCTTGGCATTCTCTGTATGACTTGAGCAGCATAATTTAACATCTCCTTCTCTGAGGAACAATGCCAGCTCTTTATGTAATGCATCTATTCGTGGTCAAACCTGTGATTTTGTTACATATTACGAGGCGATTGTGGGTAATGTGGCACAGTATTTTTAAAGAAACTCTAAGCACCAAAATCACTTTCTCTTAATGAAATGATTAGGGAGCAGAGAGCTACCTCTTCAGTGTTAAACTAAAAGCAATTCCATTTTGGACAAACAGCACTGTTTACATTCTGCGATTCCCACGCCTGCTAGTGACTTTTAGACAGACAACCACAAATGTCTTCAGCTTAAAAGGGTTTAATGTATTTTACATCCAGTGTCAGATTGGAAAGTACCCTGGTGCCTGATGCTGGGTCTTTGTCTAGTGCGTCTCATAGTAGATCCCTGGATTAGCAGATTGTAGTGTTTGTCGCGCATGCTCTGTGTGACTGCAATGCTCCATTTGATTGGATACAGATCATTAAATTATATGATCTCACTACAGAAGGATTGGGTAGCAATGGAGAATCTGTTTCCGTGTTGGAATAAGGTTATATTTAAAGGCACTGATGGTTGTTTGTTTTTACCAATTTTCAACGGTGTGTTTTTGAGACTCCTGATATGACTCTTCATATATGTAAAGCAGTAATGGCCAAGGTTAGCACCGCAACTGATTCAGAACTACAGATACCAGTATGCTCAGTCAGCCGTCAAGCTAGCCTACAAGTCCTGGGTTCAGCTAAACAGGATTCCCTGAAGTCTGCTATATCAAAGGATGGGTCAACACATTCCCAGGGTTATTTAATAAAGTGAGTATTGTTAGAATTTCAAAATTATTTAAAGTGAATTTCAAATGTAAGGCCAGAGTAATCAACCCTTAAATTCATCCCCAAGTCAACAATGCTTCGAGTTCAGCTACTTTGTCCTAAAATCAGAAATGCTCTTTAAGTTCACTTTGAACTCCCAGCAATTCTCAGTTTAGTAAGTAACCCTGTCTGATAGAAATTATGTATTTATTCCAACTTACCTGGTGTTGCGTGTTTTTTCTGGATTTTTGTATCACTTAAAGACTGGCTGAGCAATAAAGGAAAAAATAGCTCAGAATCTTCATAGTTAGCTATCCGTTACGCAAAGTATTACAATATACCTTAAATACAGTATTGTTTTTTTTTCCCCCTCGTTTGAATTATATTTATCTATATTTCACGATTCCATTAATCTAGTAGGCTGAACAGCGTAGCAGAAACCAATCTCGGATTCTACAAAATCCATCCACTATGACCCCGCGCCTCTCCCATTCTGCAAAAGCAATTTGTTTGCCGTACTGGGCCTCACAGGGTTAATTGCCATCTCATTATCCTAATATTGTACTTTATCAGTTATGATTCACTGTTTTCCGTTTACATGAAAGGAGTGGCTAAGTGAGTGGAACATGCTGCCGAATCCCTTGTAGAAAGCCATTTTTAAAGAAACTTTTTCTTTTCTTTTATTTATTTGTAAAATAGATTATTATGATTGTTACACCAGCGACGTTGTGTATGTGTTTACATCTTAACATTAACAGAACTTTAATAAAAATCAGATAACAGTATTTTGGAGACGAACCTGTAGAATTAAAGAAAAACCCGATGTGTACTGTACGGTGACAAGAATTAAGTATGAAGAGCAATTCTGGGACAAAATTCAAAAAGGTGATTACAATGAAAACCACCTAGATATAACTGCTGATTTAGCATTATAACTCCTTGGCACAGTTTTATACTTTATATCTGACTTTTTATTTCGAAAGGCCTTCTGTGCCGTTTATTTTGTATACTATAGAGAACTCCAATATACGTGTTTGTATTGTATTTACTAAAACATGTATATGGCAGGAATTGTGTTTTCAAAATCTAGACTTGCACAAAGCAAATGTATGTTATGATCAATCTATCCCGCAAAGGTTTACACCAGAATTAAACATTTGGAAAAACGACGAATTACACATTTTGTGGGGAGTGTTTTGTACATTTTATTTTATTTATTAAAATATATATTAAAATACCAAACTGACTCTTTATATTTTATTTTAACAGAAGTGGGAGGGGATTTATTACCCAGCTGCATAAAAACATAATCGGTAAACATTGCGGTAATAAGCATTCTAATATGTGCATTAATGGTGACAAAAACCCATGTTAGCGAAGATAATTGCGATAAATAAAGCGTAATGGGATTTCACGCTGTACGCTAGCCATAAAAAAAAACCTCATAAAGGCAACACCTGGCCTGACGGTTTCCGCTTACAGAAACATTGTTCCTATAGCTCCTGGACAGTTTTGCTTCACATCAGCTCAATAGACCAGATAGATGGATTAATAAGTGAAAATGGAGATAGACAGACAGACAGACAGACAGATAGATAGACAGACAAATAGATAGATAGATAGATAGATAGACAAACAAATCGATAGAGCGATAGATAGATAGATAGACAGACAGATAGATAGACAAACAAATCGATAGGTAGATAGACAAACAAATCGATAGAGCGATAGATAGATAGTGGACTTTCCTTGCTGTAATTGATAATTACAGGCCAGACTGTTCTAAGGACTGTTATTAGTTCTTAACCCCCTAAGGACCAAACTTCTGGAATAAAAGGGAATCATGACATGTCACACATGTCATGTGTCCTTAAGGGGTTAAAGGGTTAAGTTTTTTTTAATTTTGAGTCTTTTTAGTACCTTTTTTCCCCACTATTCTATTTTGCATTTACCTGCAAAGATTCTTTTACACCTTGCACAGCAGTTGAGATCGTATTAATGAATAGGACCCTTTGTTCTTGGGGAGAATACAATTTGTATTGTAAATCCACACTTAATATTAATTATCTCGCTCAGGCAAAACCTGTTTTTTGTTGTTTTTTTTCCTTTTGTTTGTGTTTCCTTTTTGTCTCTGTGTTGACTGAGGTTTGAGAACAATCATACGGAGACTTTAGGAATAGCATTTTACAGTTAAACACATGGCACATATTGGTCTTTTTTATTTTTTCATTTTTCGAAGAGGTTAAAATAATAGCGTTCAATGCTGGCATTATATATCTCTGCAGTAACATTCACAGTAACTTCAAGGTTCCTTCACATACAACGAACCGGATCGATGACTCATATGCCAGAACGGTTGTTTGTTAGTCTTTAGCATGTAACAGTGCCTCGGGATATCAACTGGAAATTTCAAACTTTGAAAATAATACACAAATATAAAACTTGCATTTAAAACAACATTTGTGTTTGCAGTGAAGAATCTGAGTCTCTGTAAAAAATGTATAAAAAGCTTAAATTTTGTCCAATGACGGCTTATTTTGCTTTCTACCATTCCATCTCTTGTATTTTTATTCAAGCTTTCACACAGGTTGAAGATCTAGATGTCTTACTAAATCAGGCATTAAGATCTATTATTATTATTATTATTAATATTTTATTATTTATATAGCGCCATCACATTCCGTAGCGCTGTACATAGGGTGGAATAACAGACATGTAATTTTAACCAGACAATTGGACGTATAGGAACAGAGAGGTGGAGGGCCCTGCTCGGTGAGCTTACATTATATAGGGAGTTGGGTATAGTGACACAAAGGGTAAAAGTAGGGGTACGAAGTAGGTTGTTAGAAAAGTATTCATTGAGGGCTTAGTAGGTAATTTTTGACAGTTGCATGAGAGGAGTCATGGAAGGTGGGGGATAAAAACCTGTTAACAGTTTAACTGATATGCTTTCTTGAAGAAGTGAGTTTTCAATGATTTTTTGAATTAATGGAGACTGGGTGAAAGTCTTACAGAGAAGGGAACGGCATTCCACAGAAGAGGTGCAGCCCTGGAGAAATCTTGCAGGCGGGCAACAGAGGTGGGAGTACAGACAGAGGATAGACGTAGGTCTTTGGCAGAGCGTAGGGGCCTAGACGGGACATACTTGTGTATTAGGGAGGATAGGTAGGTTGGAGCAGCATTATGTAGGGACTTTTAAACAAGCACCAGAATTTTAAATTGAGCCCTATATTTAACTGGAAGCCAGTGCAAGGACTGACAGAACGGGGAGGCGTGGGAGGTGCGAGCGGACATGAAAATGAGCCTCGCCGCTGCATTCATTATAGATTGCAGCGGTGCAATCTGGGAACATGTAAGACCACTGAGGGTATTGGAGAAGTCAAGGGGAGAGAGAACAAGAGCATGGACCAGCACCTTAGCCGCATCTGGGGTTAAATAGGGGTGAATGCGCGCTATGTTTTTGAGATGAAAGCGACAGGATTTGGTGATTGATTGGATATGAAGGGTGAAGGAGAGGTTGGAGTCAAAAAGAACACCCAGGCATCTATTTTATTTTGATTCCCTCCATGGACGATGCAAGGAGTTCATCCATCCTAGATACAGAACCTTCGTGTTTCAGAGCTCACTGTAGTGGATTGCATTGGGCTGTGTGCTAAAATTGTGTGTTTAAATGTGCTTTCATTAATTTCCTGCTATGTTTATTCATATTGTATGCAGCATTCGACTGATTGTTAGGTAAAATCACTCTGTTCATCATACGAATGAAACTACCGAACAATCAGACCACCCTAGGGATAAGTGTTCCTCTCGTTTACCCCCCCTTGATTCATTGTAACAACCAGCTAATTGGCAATTGAGTAACCCACCATGTGGGCTTGCGGGGTGGCCACCGTTCGGCCTACGAACATGTGGCGGCGGCCATCTTACATACGAACACTCAGCGGTGTTTGGTCATCAAGTGTCTGGAACCCAAATCGGACACTCGATTACCTGAACACTGCTAAGACCTGCAGAGCTCCAGAACTACCGAATGGAACCACAAATCAGGCCATCATTCGCTTAAATGAATCTCCCGAACAAGGGGATTCATCCGAACCCCACCTCAGCTCTGGATGGCAGGGTTTTTCATGCTTTTTATGTACAATACAAAGACAGACCGCAAGGTCAAAACGCATGGACGTGTTTTCGGCTACTGCCTCGTGTGCGGTTGGTCAAATTTTTTATTCCACCTAACTCCCGAACCCCTGGTCCGATCTGGGTGATTTTTGATTAAGACCTAGGAATCGCGACCTAGGGCTGTATATTACATCCATTGTACTTGTTAGCTTAGTGGTTTTCAGTTGTTTTTTTTTTTCCCAGGTCTTACAATTGTGCTGCTTTGTATTGGCTTTTATATTATTCACTTATTTTATTCATTTTGATTTACTGCACAGAGTGCAGAATAAATATATATTTTTTAATGTTATTATTGCGCTTCATTACTTGCCTGTATAGATTAGCGCCCTCTTTTAGGTGGGCTTGTTCCCACCTTTTTATTATTTTTTATTGTTTAGTTTGTCTTATAGGTGTTTTGGGGTGTACCTATAGAGTGGCAGCTTTTCTACTGTAGTATGTTTCTATAGTACCTGTTATCTGGATCTATTTCTCTCTTTGTTTTGTATACTTGATTTTTGATTATGTTACTCACCCAGGGCTACCAGGGGATATATAATGTAACATTGTATCTAATATATTTGGGGTACATCTGAAAACTGGGTAAAACCATATACTGTATAAGTTGATTATGTGTCATACTGAGGGGAGGAGATGTGTGGGAGGTAACAAGTAAAGGATTGGCTACTGTACTAATTATTGTGGGTGTCTCCCTTGCATGGGAGAAATGCTTAAAAGGAAGGGTGCATGGAATAAAAGTTAGTTCTGCTCCTGATGCTGTGTGTGGTCCAGTCATTGGGAAACGTGATTGGATACTTTTGGATTATTTTACTAACCGTGGATATTATTCTCTTGGGTTTTATTACTTGTTCCTGAGCCTCACTTGGATTACCAGCGGATTCATTGCTTGGATTCATTGATCATCTGAAAGCAGGTGAGTTTTCTGCCACATAATCTTTACAAATGATAAAATGAATCCTCTGCTCACTTTAAAAATTCTAATAGCGTAGAGGTTCTTCTACTGGTTATTTAAAGAGCTTTGTACAGATTAGGGACATCATTCAGTGCTGAAACACCTGTTGACTTTGGAGTTATTGAGAATGGTAAATGACATAGGCTCGCTTAGCAAAAGAAATAGTGAAATACATTAAGAAATATACACATTTATTCATGAGTAAGAATCCCGCATATCTCATTTCCCTTGGACTTCGGAGAAAATAATAAAATTGACTAAGCATTAGTTTCATACTGAAATGTCACCTTACAAAGCCCAGCCCACTGCACTACAGACTCCAAGATGTCAGTAGTGTGACAACGTACAGTGCTGTGTTTCAGCCTCCTGTGGGAGCAAGAATAAGTGCAAGTGTGGAAACTGCTAATAGTGAACTGAGCTTACACCTCTGGCTACAAAACTAACAGGCTTATTCACCAAAGACAGCATTCAAAGTGAAATGCAAACTTAAAGGGACACTCCAGGCACCCAGACCACTTCTGCCCATTGGACTGGTCTGGGTGCCAACTCCCACTACCCATAACCTTGCAAGTGTAATTATTGCAGTTTTCATAAACTGAAATATTTACCTTGCAGGGTTAACTCTTCCACTAGAGGGCACTTCCATATTTATAGCACATGAAATGTGTGCCATAACGACGCTGGACGTCTTTACACTATGTGAGGACCTCCAGCGTCGCTGAAATCCCCATAGTAAAGCATTTTTCAATGCTTTCCTATGCGGAGGTCTAATGCGCGTGCCTGGCATTGCCGTGCATGCGCATTAGGTCTCCCCCGCCACTGGCTGCGCATGCTCAACAGGTCTCCCTTGCCAGATGATGTCGGCGGGGGAGGAGCGTGGGCGTACCCTGACCCAGCACCAAGGGACATCGGCGCTGGATAAAGGTAAGTCACTGAAGGGGTTTTAACCTCTTCAGCAACTTGGGATGGGGGTGGGAGGGAGAGGGGACCTAAAGTGCCAGGAAAACGGTTTGTTTTCCTGGCACTGGAGAGTCACTTTAATGCCTAATTAACTGAACTGGAAGC